CACTGACGCTTGGGCCGTTGGCGGATCGACGTAGGCGGACGAACCGAGCGTCGATACTTTGTAAAACGGTGTCTGTTTTGGGTCGCCAGACTGGATTCCTTGAGAGATGGCTGGATGGCAATCCGTGAAAAGACTGCACGGGCATGGAGTCGGAAAGGAGCCGGAGTCGCGATCGAGCACGTCGGCCGGCACTGGGTCTGGGATTGGATATGTCGGATTTGGTCTGATATCTCCCACAAAGTGACATATGTCTCCGCCAAGCAACAAGAACGTACTGTCATTGCCAGCTGTCGTCCGCGCTAGTCCGCACATGTGGCCTATACAGTGACCGGGTGTATCTGTGACACGTTAGGCCCTTGGCAACAAAGCACGAACAGCTGCTCCTTGCCAACCACGGCGAGATACAGATGACAGCAAACCTACCGAGTAAATAAAAGGAGCCATCGCCAAAGAAATCGTGCGCCCCATAACCGCCAATCCGGAGGCTTGAGCTCTTGAAGTCAATCTCCCTCAGCTCGCGACCTTCGAAGTCAGACGTGCGCACGGGCGAGTCCAACTTTTCGGGGAACCCAGGGAGCAACAGTGGTGCGGCCTTGAAGCCAGGTCCGACCACCAGCTCGGTTGAGGAGGGGAAGAGAGACATGTCGCCAATGTGGTCCCAGTGGTAGTGTGACCATATGACAGATGCTGGAGTTTCCGCGAAGTTCTGTCAGAAAATGAGAGTAGTTCTGGGGCAGGGAGTGAGAGGCCCATAAATTCTATCGCCTTCTCGCGCTCTCCCTCAGGCCCCTATGCCAATCCCGTCACCCCGCGTGGCATATCAACTTACATACGGAATCCAGCGCGATGTCCTTCTCCGCTAGAATCTCCGGGACATCGCGATCGACGCGGAGACTGGGGATGACGGAGCCGATCCGCTTCTGCAGCACCGCGGCGTAGTTCCAGAAGTCCTTGCGCACGCCGAGATCGAACATGACTCTCCTCCTAGAGGGGGTGTGCTCGATCAGGAACGCGACGCAGGTCAGGTTCAGAAGTTCATGGCCTGGCTTCTGGACGGGCTTGACGAACGATTCGGCGCGCACGGTCATGAGAGCCGTGGTGTCGACCATGCGCACCCGCACGGTGGTCTGCGAGGGCGGGAAGAGGATTGTTGAACTTGCGGACGTGGCCATTGTTGGGAATAGTGGTCAAGGAGAGTAAAGAAAACTGACTGCCATGCAGCGAGGGATGAAACGTACGAGTGTGGTAGGCAGTCTAGCAATGGCACCTGTTTTTATAGGAGCAAGGTTGGCATTTGTGTATTGTGCACGCTGGGATGGAGCACGAACAATGGGCGGCCGCTTACCGGACCATGATGCTGATGATGATGATGACAACTGGGGTATTCGTCCTTGCTTCGCACCCCCGCATTCTGATATTAGGTCAGCCTCTAGAGAGAATCAATCAACATTCCCCTCATCAAGGCTGCAAGCCCTGACATTGTCTGGAATAAATAGGCGGAGTTGCAAGAGTCAAGTTCTGCTCGTAGATACACCCGCAGGTTGGTGAGACGTAAAAGCTGGAAAGGGAAAAGGGGGGTGCCCTGGGGATTGAAAAGGGGTCGTCAGCCTTACGTTGAATGACCATGCTGGGTGGGGTTAGGCACGACGAGGATGGATCCGCTCGTAGGGGATCGCCAGAGTGAGTTCCAAGTCAAAATCTTCGTTACTTTGATAACCACTTGCATACGCACGGATCTCTCCTTGACCCCTACGTGCTGTTGGGTTGGAACGAGGCGGCATGCGACGAGGATTTGCCAGACGATACGGAGCGTACAACTCAGTTATTAGGCGTTTATCAAGAGGCAGAGGGCATGAACGGATAGAGTGTTGTGAGATCGTCTTCCAAATGGGCATTACACACAGGGGGGAAATGCCCACCCTATAAAAGTACAGAAATGTCACATATAGGAGAGCTCCAGGGTCGTGGGGCAGCCTCGCTCGCATCAGACCATTAATAACTCCATCGGGCCGGGGGGCGTCTTCTGTTTAAGCAGGATACGCCATGCCTTGCGGCTTGGTGTACCCGGTACCATTGACCTTCTCCGCTAGCTCTTTCTCGCGGAACTCGGCCTCTTTGTCCTGCTGGATGAGCGAGCAGCAGGCGCAGCAGCACGACGTCAGCAGGTCGCCGACGCAGTCGCCCTGGAGGTTGTATTTCTTGCGGATGTCGGCGCGCTGGAACATCATGGGGATGAAGTGGAGACCAAAGCAGGAGAAACCGGTGAACATGAGGCACTAGTTAGATATTAGTAATTTCAAATGACTTTTTCTTCAATGTTTAGGCAAGCTTGCTCCGCCAGTGAAAAGGACAGGCGTGAACGGCGGCTGGGCCGATACAAGCGGGAGAAGAGAAAGGGCAAGACCCACAGAAGCGTTGATAAAGTTGTATCCCTCCATGTTTCCATGCTTGCGGCTACGATGATGGGTTTTGCCAAAGGTGACGCACGGTACGCAGCAGGTGATGAAACCTGGAGAAAGAATGTCAGCCCCTGTACGCTTTGGTTTGTAGAGACCATACGTACAAGTATCAATAGGTGCGAAGCAGCCAAAGAAGGATGAATGCCACGGGCGGGCATCTTGTGCTGCTGGCGCAGTGACGGTCGTCGAATCGGCCAGGGCCTCATTGAAGCGCTTCACCCAGTCATTGACATCGTTTTGGTCGATCACGCCGGCCTGGGCCGGGGCGGGTGCAGTTCCATTTGAAGCCATTGTCGGGGGAGTGTGGTGATTCTGTTATGAAAGAATGACTTGGGTCAGTTGAGGTAAAAGACTGGTCGAAGACTGAAACTGGAGGGAGAGAACGACGTAGAACACGGAGTTGCGATCAAGATGCTGCGATATATGAACTTTTGGCATTGGAAGGCCACCGCCCTTGAGCCATGCTCAATGCATGGTGGGAGAGTCGCTGATGAACCTAAACCATTTCCGCATGGTCAACATGCTCTCCTTAATCACAAGTCAAACCGGAAATGCTCTGGTGTCCCGGTGAACCAGGAAACGTGTTTAGGGGTGCAATAGCGACAGGCTGCTTCGTTGGCCACAATTCTCGCAAAGAGGGGTATAGGTCGCCTGCAAATCTCTTCATACCCGGTGCCCAGCCTCGTGCGATGCACGAGCCGAGTCCTCTTAAGCGACCAGAAGGGGTGCAAGGCGTGCAAGCAGGAATAGCGACATGGGAAGGTGTGGGATGGGGCCAAGGTGGCTTGCAACCCGTGTTTGGGGCCAGCTTTCTCTCGAGCTTTTCCACGGTTGACTCATCTTGCTCGACACGCGCTGCAAATTGCGGGCGCTGAATACGAGAAAGAGAGTTTGCTCAAGGGAATGATTGACTGGCATCCCAGATGAAGAGCAAAGTCGAAACCACCGTGGCGCGGCACCACTCCGAACGATTTTAGGGGGCTCGGACCTCACTTTTGAGCCCGCTTTGCTTCGTGGCATAAGGCGGTCGGTGGCGGTGGTGGTGTACCTCGTAGTAGTCATGATTTTGTCGACGAGGTTGAATTTGCTTCAATGGAGTTGACCCCAGAGAATTTGGCTGGAAGCATCGCACTGAAGTCAAAACATCTGTCTTTGATAAAACGAATGAGCATCGCCGCTCAGTGCTCACCATGAAGTTGGACCCCCTTTTTCAGGGGCTACAAGGTTTCGACCCCGTATGTCCCGTACTCGTACTCTGGCTGCTAGCCTCTGCTTGTGCCGCCCCAGCTACCGAGTACTAAGCCCTGCAGATCATCCGTTAGTGCCTGGCTAGGCCTGGACAAGCGAAAGGTTCGGAAGTGTTTCGCCTATTCTCCACAGAGCAATTTGTGACATGTGATCATCATCCACAGCCTTGAAAGAGTTCACTGCTATCACCTACTTTATACTGGTATGTAGGTAATAGGTTCCGAGTAGACCTCAGAGGTTGTCGGTGAACTTGGCATCCGCTCTCCGTTTGTAGATGATATAGAGTGGATACACGTGATCTAATTGCCAAGAAGCTAGTGCAACAACTTCGCTGCCTAGTGTGCAATATGCCAAGACACTAATAATGAGGGCTAAGTACTAAGTATATTGGGTCGTAATACAAGCAGTTTCCCATGCTACATAGATTTAGACGTCCCATTTCACACTAGGATGAGCAAAAGTCAACTGACAGAAGCCCTATTTCCTCTGGATATGCGTCTGCTTCAAGGAGATAACATCCATTCTACAAGAAGGACTTCACCTTCGTCGGTGCAGAGCTATAAGAGAGATGATGGTTGGCACCAGATTCCGTGCCTTTCCCAGTGTTTACCTAAAAGTATGTTGTTTGGGTTCGGGGCCTTGTCAAGCCTGCTTCTGCCTGGTCGCGGCGAGTGAATGTTTGCTGCGCGGCTGCATCGACATTCACCTCACCCAGCACCGTATGTTGCCGGATGGTCTCTTCGTCGCGCTGTGCTGTGGTACAAGCAGAACCACTCGATCTTTGGAAAACTGCCCTGTTCCTATAGTCGTTCCGGAAATGTTCAGCCGCGATATACAAGTACGTGTGCCCACGATCACACTCAGGTCACACAAGAGCACATGATATAAAAAAGGCCCACTAATCTGCCTTTATTGTTCAATCTGCCCGAGCCTTTTTACTTCGAGCTCAACTCGTCCTCATACCAAACCGAGATGGCCACCCTTGACTCTCTCAAGTTGGCCCTGAAGCAGAAAGCCAGGCCCCGGCTACGACGTCGTACCCCAAGCAGCCGTTATCCGACACGCAGTAAAGCGCTGGCTTCGATATCTTCATGCAGGGCTTGAGATGGAGGAAATACCAAGACTTTTATCGTCCCTCAGCTGTCCCAGCTTCTGGCCCCTCTCTTCAATTCACGTACCCAGATATCGGATATCGGTGTTGGAGATCGGCCCCGTCCCAAAGAGCCTGTTAGGATATCTGCCCGCAGTCTGAGATGGAAGGTCAGGAGGTACACTGCATTCGAGCCTAACGGCATGTTTGCTACCAGTTTGGAAGAATGGCTTTGCTTTACGTCAGAGATGGAGTCCCCGTTGCCCTGTCTAGAGACTGCGCCCGACATCCGCCGAATCCCATTCGTTCTCGAGAACGACAGAGCGAGCGGTACCGGTACCGGTACAAGTGACGACGGTCAAAAATACGACGTCGTCCTATTCTGCCACGGCATGTATGGCATGAGGCCTAAACACAAGTTCATCAAAGGGGCGCTGGAAATGCTGGTTGTGCGGCCACAAGGCGGAATAGTGGGGGTGTTGCATCGCGACGGAGCTCTGGACCTTGATGGCTTGTTGTGCTATCGAATGGCTTCTTTCCCTACGGGAGTCGTACGCGTGGCGGATGACAACGAGGTATGGACTGTTTTGCTCCTTTCATCGCGGGGTTTGACATGCAGGATGCGGATGTGGACAAGGTTATCCGAGCCGGGCGGCGAGAGGTGTGCCTCGCCTTGGGCCGCCGCGAGGAAACCCACCCAGACCATCTCTTGTTCGGCTCACCCGACCTCATGGTGGCCTTTACCCAACATGCGACCGCGTTGCCGGAGCTGACAGCACAGGTGCCATCGGTGAAGGGGACCCCGACAACTCCAAGAGCGTGTTCAATAGGTTCTCAAGCACGGCATCGGTCTGACCGTTATCGGCGGGGGTCACAGCAGCCACTGTCGCTTGCCTAACGTTGTCTCGGTCGACATGGGCGCCTTTGACAAAGTACACATTCTCCCATCAGGAGAGGATGGAGGGGATTCCGGTTCTGATTCCACCTCTTTGGTCGTGGCCAAAGGTGGCTGCAAGACGGGGTCATCCGCAAGAGCATGGCGGTAGGTCCCCCAAAGGGCCCGACCAAGCGCAGGCGCAGGGCTGTGGCTACAAGGCGGCATCGGGCATCTGGCTAGGCTGCACGGGCTCCCGTGTGACGCCATTGTCGGTGCCGTTGTGGTGAGTGTCGAATCCAGCCAAATTCTCTGCGTCGGCCGTGTACCAAGCCAACACCAGCCAGCTGGTGCTGCTTGCCCGGAAAATGAAACCGATCTGTTATGGGCGATGAAAGGTGCTGGGACCAGCTTTGGCATCGTGGTCAGCGTGACTTTCAAGACTTACGAGGCTCCCACCTACATAACTCGAAGCTGATTTGTCCAGCTAAGCGACAACCTCGACGCCCGGCGCAAGCTCAGCGGTTTTGATAAATTTGTCGCTCAGAACCTCCTCCGGAACTGTTCGACAGATGCATATCTCTACTGGGACGCTGGCCAGCTGCATCTTGGTGTGACCATGTTCGAAGCTTCCACGACTCCGCTCACTTCTGAACACGCACGCCCACACCCGCAGAAACCATTTGGGGGCCGGAAGATGATTTCAAAGCCGTGGACGGCATCGCTTTGTTTGAGACCGAGCTGTATGTGTCTAGGATGCATGGTGTGCACAGCAGCGGCAAGACCTCCTCGTCCAAGCGATGTTTATTTTTAAAATGCATCGGAGCAGAGAATGTCGCCGACCGCTCGGTGCCTGTCGTCAAGACTCGTCCTTCGCCACTCTCCTATCTGCATCTACTTCAGGGCGGCGGAGCGGTCAACGACGTTGCAGCCGATGCTACTGCTTTCGGCTGTTGAGACTGGGACTTCGCCTGCGTGATAACCGGTATCTGGATCCGCGACCAAGACGGTATCGAAGCCGCACAATCTGCCGTGCGTTGGGTTTACAACGTCGCCGCCGACTTGTTGCCCTTGAGTAGTGGAGCTTATGGCGCCGATCTTGGGCCAGACCCCAGAGCCTCCGCACTGGTGGTGAAGGCTTTGGACCAAATCGGTCGCGCCTAGCCCGTCTCAAACAGAGCTTGGACCCGCAGAATGTGCTAAGCTTATGCCTGTCCGCTCCCAAAAGCGCCGTTGGAACAGAAGCTCATCATTCCTGTCACGGGCGAAAGTTGCGCCGGCAAGGACTGCTGTGCCGACGTCTGGGTCTCTGTGTTCATGGCACGCGCCCACAAGAGTCTCACCGGAATGAGAGACGAAGCGCCGGTCGCAGCCTGATCGCATTTGGTGCCAGACAGCAGGCTGGTCGAGGTTCGAGTCCAAGCTAGTGAGTAGAAGCGGCTGGTTCACTCCGGGTGCTACGTTGGTAACGATGATGCAGACAACAAGGACAACAGCAACAGCAACAATGCTAGGTCGGATATAACGGCGTTGGACTACCGGCCCAGTCTCATCTTCGACAATGATACGATTGGAAAGGAGGCGGCAAAGAGGTTTGCCGAGCATTACCTGCTTCCCTTCGTCCACGGGGACCTGCAGCGACTGGCCAATACGGTGCGACTGGTACCCGACTTCCCACGCCCGGGCATCGAGTTCCGCAACGTGCTAGGCATCTCCCAGCAGCTCGGTGGGCTGGCCCTGTGAACGGCTCTGTTGCAAACCCACTTCACCGGTGAACGGGCTAAAATCGACGCATGGTGACTTGCGAGGCCGGCGGTTTTGTCAATCCGTCGGCGTTGGCCTCGCAGGTTGACGTGCCCTTGGTGCTGATTCGTGAAGCTGATAAGCTTCGCCCACCCACCATTTCCGTCATCAAGTCCCCGTCTCATATCTCGCTTTCGGTATCCAACGATTCGAAACAGAAGCGGATCGAGATGGGGCGGGATGTGGTCTCTAAGGGCGAGCCAGGGGTGGTGGATGATGTGCTTTCCACCGGTGAGACGCTTTGTGTGGTAATACGGCTGTTACAAGAAGCAGGCCTCAGCGCCGAGGATATCAGTGTCATGGTCGTGGCAGAGTTTCCGCTTCACCGTGGTCGGGAACTGTTGTGCCAGCGTGGGTTTGGCGGAATCAATATTCAATGCCTTTTAGTCTTTGGCGGTGCTTAGGAGAGGAAAGAAAAGGGTCGGAAGGACCGGATTCCACTTCAACCATGCTGCAGACGTAGCGCAGAGCCGCGAAGAATGGTATTCTTGAAGAAGATGGCTGTTTGGCCTTTGCTGAGGCCTGCGAGAAGCAGTCTTGGGACGCCTTCAGTCTGGGTCCGCGACGATCTTATCCCTCCCCAAATGGGTTCTTGTCCGGGGTATCTTGTATTTGGAGACTACCTCGCCCTGTATAAATAGACAGCCCACAAATTCAATTCTCTTAGTCTCTGACAGTTGCGCGAGGGCAGGAATTGATTAAGATTGAATGGATGGGAAGCCTTCTGCTCTGCCTTCGAAAGATTAAGCTGACATCGTACTTCTAATTCTCTATCTGGCGAGCACATCGAGAGGATTTTAGTTCGTCGTTCCTGTTGTAGGTCAGTGGTGAGCGAGAAATCTCATACGAAGTGGGTGGCAAGGCTGAATGGGAGGTAGGCGACATTTAAAAGCAGCGTGGTCTTGCGAGTCCCATCAGTAATAAAATGCGGAGAAGGCTTGTAAAGCGGCAAGAAACTGCATCGGGGACAGATTTCCAGAACATTGCGCAGTGCGAAACACGTCCAGGAGTGTTTATGACAGCCTGTCACTCCATCCACTGGACCATTTAGACAGCTCAACACTCTAGAAGGCATTCGATACGCATCACAAGACATCGAACCTCTCTTCCCGCCCAGAATGCAGCGCCAACCCTTCTCTCCGCCTCAAAAATCCCCCGAATTATTCCACCCTCGCCCTCAGCACATCTCGCAGGTTCCCATGATGCGATCCCCTCCTCCTCCTGCCTCACAGAACTCGTCACAACCTCCGGTCAATAGCTATGGCAACCCCTATCAGTCGCCGCCTGGGGGAGGGGGAAGTGGTGGAGGGGGAGGGTTCGGACCCAATTTCAACTTCATGAACGACCCAACTGCCCAGATGGGGTTTCAAGTCGGGCAGCACGCAATGAAGGCCGGGCAAGAGTACATGGAACAGAATGTACGTGAGTGACTTACTCCTAGGCCACATACTGTGGCTATGATTTGGGAGTGGCGGTCCATCTGAGCGGAAGTGGCTCATGCTGACTCCTTTGTTGCCAGCTGAACCGCTATATCTCTGTATCCGCACTGAAACACTATTTCAATGTCTCCAATTCCTATGTGGTACGGAAACTGCTGCTTGTTCTATTTCCCTGGCGGCACAAGCCTTGGACGCGGCAGCAGGCTCGAATGACCACCTCCTCCACGACTGCTGACGGCACAATGACCCAACAATCTTATTCCTTCAACTACCTTCCACCCCGCGACGACCTCAATTCGCCAGATATGTACATACCAATAATGGCGTTGATCACCTATATCCTCCTGTCGACTGTGCTCGCAGGAATCAGGGGGTCGTTCCACCCCGAAATACTAGGCAGTATCACCAGCACGGCGATTTTTGTTATCATCTTTGAAATCATCGTTCTGAAGATCGCCATGTATATGCTAAGCATCAGCAACGATTCTCAGCTCCTTGACCTGGTAGCTTATTCTGGGTACAAATTTGTGGGAGTGATCGTGACACTCTTTCTTAGCGAGCTACTGACTGGCGGGAGTGGTACAAATAACTGGGTGGGCTGGACTCTGTTCTTGTACACCTGGTATGCGAATGCATTCTTTCTGGTAGGTGTTATTCGTGGTGTCCCATGTCATCAGCAATCTAACGTCCTTTAGCTACGGTCCCTGAAATACGTCCTCCTACCAGATGCTTCCGGAGATCCGACAGCCATGCGAGGCGGAAGCTCATACACCGTGGCACGCGCACAAAAGAACCGTCGCACATATTTCCTGGCGCTGTATGCATTCGTGATTCAGATGTTATTTATGTGGATCTTGAGCCGCGAAGAGGCAGCCGTCAAAACGGTCGCCAGTAGACTTGCTGGGCCGAGAGCATAGACATGTGCTATGAAGACATTTATCGGACTGTTACCCTTACACGTTGGCAGATCGTATCCTCAGGCTGTCTCAACATCACTGAGGTAACCACCATCCTGAAGGTCACCCTACGATAGAGTCCACCAGCCGACGCGGTTGTACAGGGGCAGAAAAGTACAGCAACTGTGTGATGACAGGTGGCATTGAATTATGGGCGTATCTCCAAGCTTCTGATGCTCTGCACCGAATTGTTTACCGACATTGATCGTCCTACCCATTATTTGAGTAAGCTATGGAGGTGATGTTGATGTCAAAAGCCTCGTCGACAGGCTGAATATTCGCACCAAGGCCAAGTCGCTGCTTTTTCACAGACACCCATATTCAATGACTAAAGAACGGCAATGCCGAAAGTCAACCAGTCCGGATAACAGTGCAGTCGATGAGGTTCGAGGGTGGCCCTAAAGACGGTAGTACCAGCTGCATGTCCGAAGAATTGTGCCAGATGACTGTTTACCAACGCCTTAGCCTGTACTTCTCGAGTTCCTAGTAGTCTCAGACTGCAGGAAGCTGACATCACATGCACAAGATGGGTGACTTCTTAGCCTACCTGGTGAAGCAGGTCGCAATACCTCCTATGGGGTTCTTCTAGCCGATCTGCAACGTCGCGAGGAGTCTGAGCGGATTGAAGATAACAAGACTTGACCTGACGATAACCCGTCAGTTTTCGACTCTACGTTGGTTCAAAGATATCGATGTCGCAAAAGCCAGTGGGAACCCGTCTTCTTCGCGCCGGAGTTCTGTATGGCAGACACCGTTCCCTCGAGCTCTCTTTCGGAACGCAACATCACTAGCGTCACTTTCCCAACAAGCCTCAACTCAACATCTCTGCCCTCCTTTCCTCCCTCTGGTCCTTGTCCTCTCTCAATGTCTTCCATCTTCCTGCTCCACCTCCTCGCCCGACCCGACATTTTCAACGAGGCATAATGTCGACTTCAGAGCGGGACATCTTCAGAACCGACTTAGACGCGGGAGAGTCGTCGCGCGGCGCAGATTCAGCTCGGGCCTGATGTTGGTTGGTATATCGCTGCAGTGGTCTCCGGTTTTCACTTTTGAACACCCCCTCGTGGGTCCTCCTTATACGTAGGTAAGAACGGATGGACGAACGGTCGATGGATAGATGGATAGATAGATCCTCCACGTTCTAGGCTCATAGAGAGTAGGGAATGAATGTACACCAGTCAGTATGAGTGTCCTTGTCCAGTAGATTTGTATATACTCCCTATCGTTCTACCGTGGAGGCTGCCTAGGTAGTAATGCCCGCGCTGAGTCTGAGGACTCTACATAGAGCCCATGCGTGACCCTGTTGCTTGACGACGAGGCTGGGGATTTTAGGGAGACAGCTTGCTTGACGGGTGCTCAGTAGGTACGCAGACCGACTACTGCAACAGGTAACGCTGGAGCGGGGAAGGCCTTTTGATTCCAAGTGCGGCCTCGCTCTGGTCGGATCGGTCCCTCTCCGTCTGCGATTTCGTCTTAACTGAGTGTTGACTCGTCGAGCTTCATTCTTACATGCAAACAAGGAACGACTTCTCTTGGTTGGCAAATAATGTAGAGTAAACCAAAGGGGTAATAACTCACCTACCCACCTACCTGTTCGGCGGAATGGGGATGGGCAACCTCCAGTCACAAAGGAAGAGAGCGCAAAAGAGAGACAACAATCCATCACCGATTTTAGGTTCCAGAGATCAAGCGGGAGAGTCGGTCGGGTTTCGCAAGGCTGTGATTTCAAGCGGCTGGGGATAAATATTCAACCCAATACGACACGAGACCTTTCTTGGTCAAGGTAAATGACGACGAGAAATACTGTATATCCCGACAGACCGGTCACGTCGGCCTTGCAAAGGGTACGTCTGCCACTTGACGCTCTGATCTTCCTGGTTTCTCCCGTCTAGGATGAGGTCAAGGATCATCCAGGGGTGGCGGACATTGAGAGCTCAAACCCAGTATGGAAGTATGAAAGCCCGGCACCCCATCCGTGTCTTTCGACGCCATACATTCGAATCCAACGATCGCAATGTCAATCAATCACAAAGATATGGCGGTCATGTATCCGTTCTGATCGAAGGGTGTCAAGCAAGGGTACATGAAACTCCCTGGCGAGTTCGTCACCGAATCATCCTCCCAAGACGTCAGGGGGACCATCGCTGATAAGCGTGCCGAATACGGTCGGCACACATGAGATCCTGGCCCTCTCGCTTCGCTGGGACCCAACGAATGCACCTATGCTTGTGGAACAGTCAGCCCGTATTTCTCCGTGTTTGATACATGGGCTGCAGGGAAGTGCCCAAAGCGGGGCCTCTGACAGCGAAGGTCCACGAGGGTTGACGATCCCCTATTTACCATGGCGAGCGTTGTTTGATGCAGGTCTTTAGCCAGAATTCACATGTCAAATCTGCCCACTAACAAAGAATACTCACGTCCTTGCCGTCAAAAATAACCGGAAGTTTGCCATGACTCAGAGGTGTTGACAGCCAAGGACGAGACTTATCGCCATGAACAAAAACCAAGCTTTTCGAGACGCTCATACAAAATACGGACCTTGTATGTTTACGGTACCAGGACCGGATATGGAGACCACCAATAGCGAGGGCTTCTGACTTATGAACGCCGTTAAAGCTCGTTGTTATCTCGAGTATTGTTGTATGATTTTTTGGGGCCGTCTCAGAAATTCACCACTGCTCCAAGAGCCATGAAGAGAGCAGGACGTGATTCTATTAGGTGTCAGTTTCCCGGCGACGTGAACTAAGCCAGTCACTCCGAAGAGAGCAGCAGGGATGTCGAGAGAGAACAACACGCCAGTCGGTGAGAAAACTTGATGGCTCACGGGCACCAATAATTGATAGACCGACTGGCTGATAGTAAGCGATTCGATGATAAAAGACCTGACCGACTGGTGCTGTCAGGTGAAGTTCAAGTAGCCCTAACTCGGAAAGGCTCAGCGCGAGAGAGAATTTTGACAGAATTTTGACCCCTTCGCGGGTCGGATCAAGGCCGTTTATGCTCCCCGGA